AACATCATGAAATTGAGAACTCTCAAATCCTGTTTGTTCTTGGAGTTGATTAACAAATTGAAATGTGTCTTCTATCAACGGTTCAGCGAAGAAAGTCGAAATTTTGTTTTTAAAATAGTTTTAGAACATCTATCTAAGATATTTGTCGCTTTGGTAGTGTCTTACGTAATTTATCTTTTTGCTTTTTTATTTACCTTAGCAATAAGCAAGGGTATTTCAATCGGGCAGTAGACTTTCCCCAAAAACAACGTTATTCACAGAATGGCCAAAAAAAGGAATGGTAAATTTCGGTTAAGTTCAGAATGATTTCCAATTTCCTTGCGCTTTGGCACACTTTGTCTGGAGGTATCGAATGCGCCTGGGAGGGCAAAGTTCCTGGGTTCGAATCTGATAGGACTTGTTTTTTTTTCAAACGCGAAAAAAAAACCGTTTTTAAAGAAAATTGTCGGCTGAGTTGCCATATTGTAGAATTGTTGTTTTTTAGTTTTTCTAAGATTATAGTTGTTACTAGTGTTCTGATTTACCTCTGTTGCTTGCAATTTTTTTACTAGCCTCGACTTCGTATATTTCTTTTGTTTTTTTTTCGCTTAAAAACATGATTCTGCTCAAATGATTTCGGCCTATTTTGTATTGCCTTAGTGACCTAATTTCGAGTGGTTTCATCGGAAACATATTTTTATGCTTGCCTCTGGATCGCGCAAAATACTAAAAGTCTTAATAGAAATTATAGTTCAAATTTTTCATATTTCATAACGAGTTTTTTCAGCTTGATAGGTTTCGGCCTGTAGCCTGTATTATATCGGCCTATTGGACTCATATTGCGTCATTCGGCAAGCGAAAAAAGCTTTTGTCATAATTCTTGAGTCTTCACATTCTATTGTCTCGATTTTTTTCTAGTTTTTTCTTATTTTGTATCGTAAGTGGCGCGAAGCTCAGCTTCGCCTCTATTTATAAATATTGTTGAGTTGAATTTTTTTAGAAGCCCATGCTTGAATTATAATACCAGTTCACTTTTTTGTTGACATTATCTAAAGTAGGAGGTTTTTATCTCGAGTAGATTTCACAATCCTTGTTTTTTTGCGCTTTGGAATTTTGACAGAGTAGTTCTTCAAAATAGAATAAGCAAATGCTTGGAATTATCTTCTGAAGTGATAATTTTTCCGACCGAACACCTTTAAGCGAAGAATATAAATGATTGTTGTTCTTTTAACATCCAATAGCACGAAAACGACCGATCAGGTCACTGAGTTTTAGTGTCCCGACCACTCAAAGTGGGGAGGAACTTTGTCTTCGGGTGTGTTTTTAACCTTGCGATAAGCAAGGGTATTGCAATCGGGAACTACACTTTTTTCCCGAAATAACTTTATTCACAGAATGGTCAATTTTGTAGGAATGGTAAGTTTCAAGACATGCTCAATTTCTTGAAAAAACAAATAAAATTACCTTCATTTAGTTACTTAATAGGTGTAGTCGGTTTCCGGTTTTAATTTTTTTTTTTCATATAAATTTCTCGAAAAAAAATATTGAATTTTAATTTTTTCGGCTACGTGGTTTTCGGCCTAATTTGTTTCTGTCGGTTTAATTTCCATTTTTTAAATTTGAGTTTATATTATATGGCACTGTTTGCTATCGGCTCACTTGTACAGCATGGACTATGTTTTGATTTGAGAATTTTGTAGTCCGATTTTTATTATTTTTTATTTAGAATTTTTTCTCGAGTAATCGGTCTCTGCTGCTGTTCATGTTTGTTTTTCTCAAAAACTACTCTACCAATTTTCAAACAAGTGGTACCAATGGGAAGTCCGCCCACTACTCCGTGTGCCTGCGTAATTACTTAGACTCTTTTTACCTAACCCCTTTATCTACAGCCTTCGAAAAAGTCAGTATGGGGGGAATTTTTACTTCTATTTTTGGATTTTTTTATATTTTCTCGAAAACTACTCTCCCAAATCTGAGACTTTGGGTTCAATGGATAGAATGCGCTGTGGAAAGCTCGTCTGCATTGATATTTTGGTTTTAATGTGTATAACGGGTTATGGATAACTCCACTGCATAAACGGCAACGCACATTTTTTACACAAAAAGGTATGGCCCTCGGAAATGTCTAAATTTACAGACCCAAATGTGATGTGAGGTTTTGAGTTCAATAAAAAAAGGGCTGAAAAGCTCTCCTGTATAAGCTGCTAATTTAAATTTTCCAATAAAAAATTTCCTCAGATTTTGGTTTCTTGTTTATTTTTTGAAACTTGATTTTTTTCGAAAATTACCCAGCCGAATCTGACATCAATTTTTCTAATCGAAACAGCAGGCTGTCGGAAGCTCCCGTGCAAAAGCTGCTCAGCCTTAAAAATTGTAAGAAAAACATAGTTCATGTTTAAAAAACTTTTTCTCCAAATTCCCAAAAAACCCACTCCTACTTAATTTATAAGAGAACCAACTAAGGTTTTAGGTGAAGCCCAAATTTTGAAATTACTCGATTCATTGCGCATCAGTACAGTAAATTCAAAAATTATTAAACAGGTACATCCAGATTTAGCTGGCTCCTAGTTTAATCGCATAATCAATTTCTATTGCGTAGTTTCAAGCGAAAAAAATTCTTTCTGACGAAATCTTGTATTATGAAATTGTTTTTTTTTTGTTTTCATTATTTTTTCGAGAAGCTTTGACAATTTTTTTTTTCACTTTCCGCTGAAGTTTTCATTTTTCTCGAAAACTTCTTGACCGATTTCCACAAAACTGGCACCATTGAAAGAACGCCTTTTCATTGTATGTCTGCATACTTCCATAGTCTGTCTTAAGCTTTTACTCCACCTTAAAAGGCCTTCGAAATTTGAAATGTGGGGAATTTTTGACTTAATTTTTTGGATTTTTCTTTTTTGAGTGACTAATGTGTCCAATCTGAGATTGAGATTTCAATAGGAATAGCAGAAAGTGAGGCGCTACTTAAGCCGCTACGTCCTCATTTAAAGAGAAAAAAGTTGTGGCCTCAAAAAAGCTAATTTTGACAGTTTTTTTTCTCTAAATATTTCTCAAAACTACCGTCTCATATTTTGAATTATCGGTTTAATCGAAAAAACAGGTTGTCATAATCCTACCTGCCTAAGCGGCTTCGCTTCACTTTTTGTAGAAAATTAATAAACTTCGGAAAAGCCCATTTTTTTTTAAATGTTCAATGTTTTCTGAAACTTTGTTACTTTTATCGGAAGCTAACCTGTCAAATCTGGTATGAAAAGTGTAATTGAAATGAAAGTTTTTGACAAGTCTTCCTGCGGTAGTGAAATAGCCCTATTTTGTGTACGAAAAAAGCTAATTGCCTAAGGAAAAGTCTTACTTTTTCAATGTCAATAATACTGGTTCAATAGGGTTATCAGGTTTCGGAAGTTTTTGCCAAGTAAGTTGGTAGGCTCTTGTTCATATAAAGAAAACCTATAGTTTTCGGAATATTCAAGTTCAATTTTTGGGACCATTTTTTGGAAATTTTTTGAGATTGAGAGTTATGTTGAAGAAACTGAACTGAGTTTTTTTGGAGACGCTTTGACAAATTTTTTCACTTTCCGCTGAAATTTTCATTTTTCTCGAAAACTTCTCGACTGATTTTCACAAAACTGGCACCAATGAAAGAACGGCTTTTACATTGTGTGTCTGGATACTTCCATAGTCTGTCTTAAGCATACTCCACCTTCAAAGGCCTTCGAAATTTTAAATGTGGGGAATGTTTGACTTAATTTCTTGGATTTTTCTTTTTTGAGTGACTAATGTGTCAAATCTGAGATTAAGTTTTCAATAGCAACAACAGAGAGTGAGCCACTACGTCCTAATTTAAAGAGAAAAAAGTTGTGGCCTCAAAAAAGCTCATTTTTGACAGTTTTTGTACTCTAAATATTTCTCAAAAGCTTACCCTCTCATTTTTTGAATTAAGGGTTAAATCGAAAAAACAGGTTTTGGGAATCCTCCCTGCGTAAACGGCTACGCTCCAATTTTTGTAGAAAATTAATAAAACTCGGAAAAGCCTTTTTTTAGTTTTCATCGTTTTCTGGAAACTTTGTTACTTTTATCGGAAACTAACCTGTCAAATCTGGTATGAAAATTGTAATTGAAAAAAAGGTTTTTGACAAATCTTCTTGTATTAGCGAAATTGCACTGTTTTGTGTACGAAAAAAGCTAATTGCCTGTGGAAAAGTCAAACTCTCGAAACTTTGACCGTTTTTTCGGAAATTTTTTTACTGTTTTTCAATGTCAATAATACTGGTTCAATTGGAATATTAGGTTTCAAACTTTTTTGCTAAGTAAGCTGGTAGGCCCTTATTTTTATAGAGAAAACCCATAATTTTTGGAGTATTCAAGTTCATTTTTTGGGACCATTTTTTGGAAACTTTTTGAGATTGAGAGTTATTTTGAAGAAACAGATTTTTTTTCGACTGTTTGTATCACTGCTGTTTTTTGTTTTTGTATCACAAGTGGTGCGAAGCTCAGCTTGGCCTCTGTTTATTTTTTTCTACTTCATTTTCATGCAGAATCGGGTACCACTAGTAGTGATCAGAATGGATTTACTATATAAAAGCCCGTTCAGTCGTGATTCGAGTAACATAAAACGTTTTTGATTCAATGTCGAGAAAAACCAGTTTAAAGTGTTTTTAGTCTAATTTTGAGCGAATGAAGCAAGCGAGCACACTAGTAATAGGGCGATGACTTTTTTATAAGCTGTGAAGTTTGACTCTTACTCCATCGAAATTAATTTTGTTTAACGCCTTCGTAGAAGTAATTGTTAGCAAAAATCAAAAAAAAATTCTGCGAAAATTGAGAAAATTTAGGGGGGAAATTTCAAACGTTCTTATTGCTTAGACTTCCAAGCAGAATGAAAAATCATCTTTTAGTTCTAGATAAGTACTGTGCAAAAGATATTTTGTATTACCATAATAGGAAATCTCCGTCCGCCTTCGTGTCTTAATAGCGCCAGTCGCTGTGGAATAAATAAGTAACTCAAGGTTTATTTCAGATTTATAGTAATGATCTATAAATAGTAGCTTAGATCTATAAATAACATTCTTACCAGATTTTTATTCTGTCGCAAAAGCGAGAGAGCTGATCTGTCTTTTAATTATTTGCCAATGCTTGTTCTACGCTCTGATTGAATCTATTTGTACAATTATGGCACTAATTCGATATTAGAAGCAAGTCGACCTAGAATCGATTTTCTTTCCATTTTCTTTTTCTTTCGTCTGATTTTTTGAGTGTCCTCAAGAGCAGTTATGTATGTGAAATCTCTGAAGCAGTTGGCGATCTTTGCCTTTGCGTTCAATTATGACAAGCTCTATTCAATCACTGACTTCGATGAGTTGTCGCTTCAAACTCGTGTGAGTGAAAAATTCTTTAAATCTATTCAACTGTAGGTGCACGTATGGCATTAACATATCCCATTGGAAATCGAAACAAACTTCAAGAAAAAGGAAATCTTTCATGTAAATTGACTAAAGAAGTAACAGTTTATCATTTCAAAAGATGCTTTCAGCTAATTTGGTCGTATGATTTTATGAGAGGAAAATTTTTGACGTTTTTTTCTCAAACTTGTAAATTCAAAATAACCACTTGGTTAAATATACATGCTGCTACAAAATGACATTATCATAATGAATTAAAAGTCAAGAACTACACCGGTATGTAAATATATAAATACATCTTGTATAAATATGAATGAGACAATACTATTTATTAGATATAAAAAAATAATTTCGAAAAGAACCAATGGATTTATCAAAAGGATTTTTTTCACGTATTTCTATCAAAAAAAAATTTCTCAGTTCAAATTTAATTTTTTGTATAATTTAAAAATGGTCTCCCTCAAAATGGTTTTTTTCCGGTCTGCAAAAACGGAACCTACAAACTTCTTGGCACCTCATTTAAGAGACTAACATGATAGCAATGCTGGGTTTTGGTTGAATGAAATCATCCATGTGTCTTCAGGAGCAAATAGTGCAATGGCTGTTCGACCACGACACAGGGCTTCTCGACAGAGAGATCTTAGAAAGTAGATACGACAAACGAGCATGGGTGGGCAGCCCAGCAGAAAATTTGGCCGCTACGCGACCAGTACGAAGTCGTCGTCAGTCATTGAAAAACATGTTCACCAGTATCGCTTTCCGCCGCAATGACCAAAATACTACCAGCCGTAGCCCAGAATCAAAGAACTCTTGTGACAGTACATCAGATGCTAAGAGCTGTGCTGATCAAGAAAAAGCGGAAGAGTTAGATGAACTGGAGTTGAGCATTCAGAGTTACTTTGGCAAAACGAAACTGTTTGCTAATATCACAAGGTTAAAAGAGTAATCTCTTTCGTGCAAGTAGTGTTGAGCATCCGAACACAGTCTCTATGCGTTAAAGAAATTTAATTTGAAAGTTAAGCAAATGATAACATCAAATTATTTTTTTATCGAATTTTCGCAATTTTGGAGGAGCTTAAGAAATAGGTTTTTGTGTGGACTTCGATTAAATTCGACGCCCTTAGTGGTCAAGTGCATATAGTTCTTGGCTTTAGACTGACAGTGACTAAATCACTAATGCTATGTGACGAAGTGCTGCAATGTTTCTCCGAGCAGTGTGGATATTTGAGAAATGTCACCTTCTCACATTGCCAATACATTACAGGTGAGTGATAGGGTGTTCAAAGTCTTGACCTTTGCACTCTTTTTGATCATTATATACTTGAAAATTAAAATTAAGTTCTTAACAAAATTTTTAAATGTTAAGCAGAAATTTAAGAAGTTTTTGATCACTAATGTGGCCATGGTGAAAACAAAACCGTGCTGCACCATTTGGTAAGCCATTAGGAAGCTTTTTTTTTTCATTGTTTTTCATTATGTTTTTCAGTGGAAATCTGATAGTCTTTACTGATTGGTTTCATATAATACTGAAATTGAGATGTTGCTCCTAATTGCAGACTTGATGACGTTCAGTTCAATTGCTGAGGGTCTCTTTTATCCAAATTGCTGATATGGTGACATGTATTCTAATTAATGATATGCTGAATTTTATTAAGAGTAGTGAGCGTAGTGAAGATTCTTATATAGGTCTTGGTGATTTTTTGGTGTGACTTTTTTAAGGAAAAAGTGCAGGAATGCTGTAAAAAAAATAGATATGCATTCATACATGTTAATGCATTTATGGATGGACTTTGTGTATGTGCACTTTTTGAGTTCAATTCAAATTCATCTGCTGAAAGTTACCTAAATACGAACGTGGAAATGGCGCAAAAAACGTGAGCGATTTGTAGTATCGAAAATGGAATTTAATTTTTAGATTTCCAGCGGAATAAAAACTTTACCTATTGATCCAGTTTTCTTAAGATGGGTTAGTAGTATAGCGCAACAAGAGGTCATGCCTGTTTTCGGAGAAAGGTCAACCTGTCAAGGTCGCGTGACTATGTTACTCAATTAGCCTAATCTTTTTTTTCTCGGGGGTCGTAATAAAGATCTGATCAGATTAATTTTTTCACCTGCGTTAATTTTTGGGGTATATGACCGGAATTATTGGGGAAATTTTATCCAATTGTTAATTAAGTGGATAACTCTGTGACATCGCTGAGGGAAACAAACTCTTATCAGATTAATTTTTTTCACTTGAATTACTTATCGGGTATTTAACCGGCATCCTTGGGAGTAAATTGTTTATAGGTAATTAGGGTGGATAGCTTAATGACATCACCGAGGGGAAAACAATTGTATCAGATTATTGTTTTCACTTGAATTATTTATCGAACTATTTATCCAGTATCACTGCTCCCTTTTTGATGTATTTAAAAATAAGGAAGGAAAAAAATAAATTAGCCAATAGAGGAAGTTCTTGTTCCTTCCTTTTCTAAACTTAAAATCAAATTCATTCTCTCTCATACTTCCAGTTTCTTAAGCAACCTCTAAGCTTGCTAAATAAATTTCAACTTTAACTTCTTTTGATCTTCTCCTTTAAAATGATGCTGGCAGCTGCTGAGATAGCTCTCGGAAAACGAGAATTCGTGCATATAAACATGATTGACATGGAAACGAGACCGGTGTGCTCCACAACCACTGAAGAAGGAACAACCACAACGATACTTCCTCAGAACTCTAAATTCGAAAACGACTTGGGAGATCAAATACTCCGTAAAAGGACCTCATTTGAATACATGCTGGCAGCTGCTGAGATAGCTCTCGGAAAACGAGAATTCGTGCATATAAACATGATTGACATGGAAACGAGACCGGTGTGCTCCACAACCACTGAAGAAGGAACAACCACAACGATACTTCCTCAGGAAGATCAAAAACTGCAGAAAAGGAAACGTCAAATTGTGCATCCGATGCGGAGACGGTCTCAGGAGAAGAAAAAAAGAGCAGCAAAAACTAGAGCATTACAAAAACTGACCTCATATATTTAAATGATATATTTAACTGAAAACATATATTTAAACTGAGTGAAGTGAATGATAGTATTAAGATTTTTGATTGTCTTAGTTTAAAAAGTCATTTACTCGTTTTGCTAAATTTCGTCTCCTATAAAGTAATTTAAATATTTTTAGTCGAGTTTTCGCAACGAAAAAAATCCGACATGATACGATTCATTAGATTAAAATTAAGGCAAAAATTTATTTTGAAACTTAATAAAAAAAAGAACAGCAAAAATCCTTCTCGATTCTTTCAAATTGAAAATGAAAAAATTATATTTAAACTATCAAACTAGGGTTTTCTTTTTTTTGAAGTCATATTTTAGTTTTTTTTTTTTAAAATGAGAGTGCTGGAGTTCAATGAACGAATAAGTTTTCAACTAGGGAACAATTAAAATTTTTCAAACTAAAAACGCCAATCTCAATAAAAAAATCTCCTGGCTCTTGTTTCACAGCCGATAAACAGTTTTCGTGAAGAGATCTTGAACAGGAAAAAAAATTAACATCAATAAAAATTTATTGATTGAAAACGGAATCTTAGAAAAGATTTTCAGGATAAAATTTACACCAAATGCAATCAGAGATATATGAAAGTTTAAATTTTAAGAGGTAATGTATGAATTCCATCTGCTAGCACTTCTCGTTTCGGGTAGAAAAATGAAAGAGCTTTCTTTTTCAGTTCATAAGTTACCACTTTTTCATTATTCTGCACTCTGAATCCTCGGTTTGTAGTCTCAATTTCTGCTTGCTCAACTAAAACACTTCGATATTTCTGCATCGGTGAGTTGTTTAACAAGGCTATTTGGTTTATACCTTTTGAACTCAGTTTAACTGTTTTACTAATTTCATCCAGACAGCAGTACGTTTTGGAGCATAAGGCAACCATCTCCGTGCATCGAAATTCCTCTTTGAAAAGACCAGGAGTTCTCTGATCATACTTGTTATGTTTTTCACAACACTTTCGAGGGGAAAAATTAGAAATTGAATTAGCAGTGAAATTGTCTCTACAATCGTTACTCCTCATTAAATTCCATTTACTTTTCATTTCGGGTTTGATGATATCCTCGAGATCACTTCCGTTGATTGAAAGATATAAACTGTCCGTAACCATTTCAATGAACTCATATTTATCAGGATCGCAGAATGGTACGAAAAAATTATAGACGAGTTCAAGCATTACTAATTTTGCATACTGTAAGATGAAAAATCCCACTATAATCGGTTCTTTGTGTTCAACTTTCGATTTTCCGATTTCAACTTTCTGAACATCTTATCATTCACCAAAGTATTTACACATGATCCAATTACATACTTCGTTCGAGTATGTCTGGAACGATCCATGATTTGGTATCCGTAGGCACTGTTACCAACAACTTTCTCAATATTGGCACAAACAGCAGAGTCAGGATTAAGATCTCCTTGTCGTCTTGCTTCAACTACTCCATTAACGAATGTCTCGAAACACTGTTTCGGTTGGTATTGTATAAAGAAGTGGACTCTTTTCAAAACCAGACCATGTTTCAGGTAAAACAGTAACAGTGGAGTAATTATTGGTCCTCGCGATAAAATCATGCTAGAAATGAGCATTCATCTCGGTTTTTTCAATAGATCCTGCTCTGATGCAAAACTTTTCATGAACTCGCCTATATCATTGCGCGACCAACTTCACAATTTTTAAATATTGGAGGAAATTGAGAAAATTTCGACTTCAAGTGATCTGGTACCTCAATTTCAACATCCGCAACTCCAAACATTTCTCCGAGTCGAATTTTTTCGGTCAACTCCTTCTCAGTTATCGGTTTTTTGTAGGGAAAATGTGTTTTCAAGAAAACTCCGACTCCGTATTGATTATTGCGAGCCCATTCCCACCATTGACATTCTCTGATAGTAACTACTTGAAGACCTAAGCTTTGCAGATACTGCTTTCGTTTCACGGTTCTTTCACGACGCACGAGTCCCCTTTTGAGTTCTTCTTCCGAATGATGTTTATGGTCCTGGCAAGCACAGAAGTGGAAGAAGCAACCATCCGCTTCAAAAGCAGTTTCACAATGCTGGCAATACCCGTCCACTGAAAAAGGTCCAAACCGTTTTTGTCTACGAGCAGTGAACTGTGATTTTATTTGACAGTTCGGTTTCTGTTCTTGTAAGTATGTTAAAACCATGAGCTCAAACATACTTCTTGTTGGCTTCTGTCGATGATATTTATTCGAATCATTTGAGTACTCCCATATATAGTACGGACCAGTAGGCATCTCTTTCATCATCGAATATGGATAGAGTTGACTCGCATCTATGCCGATGACTGCGTTACATATATTTTGACTATCTTTTATCCGAGTTTCTGCGGCTTTGGCGTATCTGGTGAAAATTATTGACGGACCACCTGTGAGATTTTGTCGAATGTACGAATCATACCAGGAGTCGGCTTTACCAAAGGGGAAAAACTTTGCATCAGTGGAGGAATGCAAGATATTATTTGCTAGATTAGGCAATGTTAGTCCAAGCTTAAGCATATCGATGTTTTTCGAATGATAGTAAGCTACCATTCTCTGCATCGCTGTCGGTACTACATCTTTATTGTTATAATATTCCAGGAAGTCTTTGAACACTTGCATATTTTTCTGTCGCCAAATGATTTCTAACTCCGCGTAATTCTCTTCTTTCGTCTTTGGTATCTGTTTCAATTTCATTTTTTTCAAACTTGCTTCACAGCCATATCCCTGGTCTTGGAGTCTTCTAAATTCTAGAAAATCTACTTCGAGAACGTTAATGCATTTGAGTTTGCTGTAGAAATCGTCGATACTGGGTAGTTTTGTCTCGTTCAATTTTTCAGGACTATTAAACCATTCATATGGGAAAAATCCTTTCTGCTCTTCTGATCCGTAAGCTTTTAAGAATTTGTCAAGACTGGTAGCTCCACGCAGAAAACTTAGAATATCTAGAAACTGGAGTCCTAAGAAACTCATTCCCAAAAACTGGTTAGCCTTGCGTATAACGGATGGTGAACACTTTTTTTCATACAAGAGAATTTCGAGCAAATACTCCTTAATCAAATTCAGATCATAACGCGAGCTGTTGAATCCGAAAAACGGTAGAGTTACACAGTACTTATTGAGATCATCTCGCAACTGATAAAGACTTTTCAACGTCAGTTTTCCAATATCCAAAATGTTGGAATCAGTTTCGGTTGTGCTTCCCTCCTCAACTGTACTGCTTGCATTGTCGACTT